CGGACTAGCCAAGGAGCAGCCAAGGACCATGCAAGGACCAACCAAGGACCGGCAAAGGACCAACCATGGACCAACCAGGGACCAGCCCAGGACCGGCCGTGGACCAGCCAAGGACCAGCGATGGACTAGCCAAGGACCAGCCAAGGACCAATCAAGGACCATCCAAGGACCAGCCATGGACTAGCCAAGGACCACCCAAGGACCAACAAAGGACCAGCCAAGACCAGTCAAGGATAAGCCATGTACCAACCAGGGACCAACCAAGGACCAGCCCAGGACCGGCCGTGCACCAGCCATGGACCAACCAAGGAGCACCCAAGGACCAATAAAGAGAAAACGTCCATGAAGTTCAAGGAATGGATGGTGTGTCAGTTTCTGATACGGACAGCTGAGCATCCACCTGATGCAAAACATGGACTCATGAGGTATAAGAAGGAGGAGATGACCTTGTTCTGGGATCAATTTATGCTCAATCTTTTCCGGACGCTCGCTGATGTTTTTTGAGCCCACAGCTGTGCTAACCCTAAGCAATTTCTCTGTCCTGTAGTGACTGGATGCCCACCGCTTCGGATGAGAACAGCCCACTGGCAGTGATGGGGTGATGGAAGGTCATGGGATCATCGGACAAGACTGATGAAAAAGATAAGTGAACTGACCCACCAGATTTCTTATTCACAATGAAAATTTATGAGTGATTTATTCAAAACAGGTTGAAACTGTCTGCTAAATTTTCTCCATATCATCAGAGGGTGAAGTGATCTTAAATATAGGAATAGGAAAGAGGATTTAGAAATGGTTTACTATGTTATAAAGTGGACTGGGTTTTTTTGATGAATAGGTTGGTCAGTTTTAATTAGCAGAATATTTAAGGGACAACGAGTTGAAGCTTCTACATTTGGGAATGGTAAAGTAGCAACAACAAAATGCAGTTTAGGATAAATTATAACATTTTCTGAGCAAATGTTTAAAGCAAATGATGAGATCTTTCAATATAAGCAATATTGATGAATACTTGATAAGTTAATGGTGCTTATGGAACTTCAATATCAAGCCCAGGATCTAAAACTTCACCATTTTTATCTGCGAGCAGATTTAAAGATAGCATTACAGAAGCTATATATAATTTTGGGGATGGGTAACCATATTTTTTTATGCACGAAGCGATAAGAACACCTGACTTCACCTACAATCAATTCTTTAGATGAAACTGCAAACTTAATACGGTAGTTTATTTGATATAACATATATAAGAAGATATTATGTTTTCTGCACATTTTTGGATCTGGTCAGGGGTCCAGATATGACAACTATTGACTAATTCTGGGGATGTTAGAACAGATTTTGTTTTGTTTTTTTATTGCAGAGTTTTGGAAACACAGCAGCAAGTCAGAGTACAATCTGGGCCCCAAGACTCTAATGGTTCAAAGAAGCTGTGGTAACAGAGGGTAAACTGATGGACTTGTCCTTACATTGAACTGTTTTGCATGTTGGAGAGGATCACAGCTCCAAGATACTTGCTCTTCCAAGACCAGTAGCAGGATGGCTCCTGACCAGTTTCCCATATAGATCCACTCACATAGATTCACACACACTTACATTCACTCACTAACATGGTTAAGGAATCAAAGGACACATAAGGGTCCACATGGGCATGATGATTTTTTCATATACTAACACTCAGGGCTACAAAGGCTGATAAGGGAGTTTTAAAGGGGGGCATCAGCACCAAGCTGGTTATTCTTAGAGATTAAAAAACTTTAATCTCTTTCAAAAGGGGCAGGGTAAGAGTAAACTAAAAATGCAGTTATAAGTTTAGACGAAGCTAAAACTTAATATGCTGTGGTGTGAAAATAGGTTTACATTTTTTTTCTGATTTGAATGTTACAGTGTGTAAACCAGGGTTAAATGCTTTCTAAAGATTTACAGGTTCCTTGAATGAGATTATATTAGTTGCAGTAATTCTGAGCTTATATGAACAAAATAATGAGCTGAAACATCCATAGGATGTTCAGGCTGAATACTTATTGTTATAAATGACTTTCAACTGCCAGGCATTGAAAGGTAGGTTATGTTAATGTTTTTTGAATAGACTCTGAAACAATCTACAGAATAAACACACAGTCTACAGATAATTTAAAAGTAATGAATTTAATGATTTAAGAGATAAAGTAAAGTAATTGTGGATAAGAATATCTGGTTGTGACTGCACTTAGGTTTAGAGTTAATAACAAATTAGACATTAAAGACACTGCTCATTCTGATAAGAACATTAACTGCACTCTCTTGTGTGCCAGAGGATCCTGGAGGAATGGATTGCTGAACTGTGATGAGAACACTCCATTAGAACCACCATGTGGATTCAGCATCTATCTGCCATCGGACTGCAAGAAGACCAAAGCGGCTGTGGAGGAGGCCATACGAGACTCTGATTGATTAATTAGATTGATGAGTGATAGAGACAATGAAAGAATTAATCAGCGACAGTGATGTTCATCATTTGCTTTTAACTCGGACCAGGATAATTCTTGATTTTACCTAATTGTGATTTATGTGTTTTGATTTATTTTGATTTTGTTTTGATGAAAATCTTGGAAACATTTTGCCCCAGACCCACCAAGATCAAGTTTTATGCCACTTTTGCTTTGATGTAGAAAGACTCAGAACCTGATTAGCTTAAAGGTTCTTTAATTAGTTGGTAATGATAATTGTCAGATTCAAAACGGGGTTTTTCTTACTCAGATTGGCCGAGAGTGGGATTTCCCTGGGGTCACCCCGGTTTTTACTACCTTTTAGAGAAGGTAGGGTTTTCCAAAAACTGGGATCCTATCTCATTACAACTGAAGCTATCACTTTATTGTTTTTGAATAATTAGTAAAACAGAATTTGTAAAGAAAAAGAATGAAATAAGTCCAAATGACCTATCAGTAATCATGTCTGTTCCAGCACATATCATCAATAGAATTTCTTGTAAGTATTATGTCTTCAGTACAGGAGCCATAATAGGGGCCAGGACATGATCTACATGGGCACCGGCCCCCTTTGGCCCCCTTCTTGAACCGGCCAAGGAGAGGAATGATGACACAGAAAACAAAACCGATGTTCAAGGCTGCAAGATTGAAAGTATAAAAATAAAAGACCAATACTGTTCTGTTTGTGTTTAAGAAATTACTGTTAGTTAATAAACAGTTGTTGAGAAGTTGCTGGCCTTAAGTGTGTATGTATGGGGCATGCTGCGGGTCCTTTTTTATGTAGTGCTCCCTTTGGCGCCATCTGGTGGCGTAGACGTGTCACTGCAACCACAGTTTGAAAATTCTCAGGCGAAGTGTACTTCAAGTGCTTTAAGGGAGACAATCTGACCTTTGAAGTTATTTAGGAGGATGGCAACTCCTGCTGATCTTGGTGTACCATGACTAAGGTAAGGGCCCCAAGCAGATCTGACCACCCAAGCAGATCTGGTACCTACACGGGCTGCTCCGTGACCAGAAGAAATGGTACTTCACGCCGAACAGTTGTGTATATTGGAAGTTCAGTTTAATATAAAATAAGTATGAATAATGCCATGAATAGTTCAGTCTGAAATGAATAAAAATAGTTGTTTTAATGTTTACTGGTTATATGTGGTGGGTAATGTTTGGTTTACCTAAATGTTTTAATCTGTTACTGTGTAAATGGGTTTTACTGTAATGTAAGGATAGATTCTAATATATCTGCATTGTAGGGACTATAAATCTGATAAGATTTTTAATTGTGATTTTGCACAATTTTCTTAACCAAGTATTTTTTGTTGTTGAATATAAGAGATTTTGCTGATGTATTTTTTATACATACATTGTTTAGATTTACTTATATCTTTCTACCCCTTTTATAGAATAGATACATCGAAACACTTCAAGATGCATCATAACTATTTACAGGATGGAAGATGGATGGAAGTAGAGGGGTGTCTGGTTATTAATTCAGGCGTTAATACTTCAAAACAATTTAAGATGTTTAATGGATAGTGATTTGTTGACTATATGGATAGGTTAGAAAATATAATAAATTTGATAAATAAAATGGACAGTAGAAGAATCTTGTTTATTACATTAAGAATAAATGACACAAGTTTAGGATATTGTTAAAACAAAATATTTTCATTTTTAAAGTGTATATATATATATAAAATTGTAAAGTGGGCAAATACACTCACAAGAATCCAGAGTGGAACCACCGGGAGCAGGAACAAATAAAAGCAAATCTAATGATCAGTTAAAGTAACATGCTGCCGCCATTTTGCACATCTCCGATGTTGCAGCTATTTTCAAATATCCATCACTGTAAAAATGTCCATAGCTGGATATTGGTTATTTATTCTCCAGGTGCACAGTTTTATATTAGCACTTTACAGTATTGTATTGTTTATATTTTAACTCTTCCCTATTATGTTATTCTTAGACATTTTTCTAAGGTCCACATCTGTGTGACCATTTTCAATAATCTTTCTGCTGCTGTAAATTTGCCCATTTTGGGACAATAAAGAGATTTTCTATTCTATTATATAAAAGGGGTAGAAAGATATAAGTCAATCTAAATAATGTGTATAAAAAATATATCTGCCAAATCTCTTATATTCAACAACCAAAAATGCTTAGTTAAGCATATTGTTCAAAACAGCAATAAAAATTTCAAATCCTATCGTATTTATAGTCCCCACACTGCAGATATATTAGAAATTGTCCTTAAATTACAGCCAAACTCATTTACACAGTAACAGATAAAACTTTTTAGATAAACCAAACATTACCGCCACATATCTGACTCAACAACCATAAAAATAACAATTTCCATTCATTTTAGACGGAACTATTCATGATATTAAACTGCACTTCCAATATTCACCACTGGTCGGCGCTATGTAACCTTTCCTCTGATTACGAAGCAGCCGGTTTGCTTTGTCTCGCAATGAATCCTGGGTAAACCAAGGATACCGAGAATACATCAGACCCGTCCTTCAAATCGGACTAAAAGAAGGACGCATTTTAAGGCCGCATAACGAGGACTCTTGGAATCCGACCAGACTTCGGCGCCATAATCGTCCTTCGAATCTGGCCTTCTGAGGACGCTTCCCATGAATTCGAACAGGGCCAATAAGAAGACGACGATCCCGGAAGTGTCAGAACGTGTCATGTGATCGGTCGTTTTGGCAGCTTGCCCGAGTAGCTATGTAAAAATAAGAGTAAAACTGCTTGGAGGGGTTCCGAACTAGCACGTTTCGCTGTTAACGAACTAATCCACGATGCAGGACGTCATAAACTCGATGAAAGGGACAGCTCTGGGTGTGGCTGAATTCCTAACTCCGGTGCTGAAGGTAAACTTCCAGGGAGAAGCTAGCTAAGGCAGTGGTTCATGTGCGGATCATTAGAAGTAAACATTGCTGCTCCAATGAAACATCGTTTCGTCTGGAGCAATGGGAATGATAGAATATTCGAAATATTTGCCAGATAATTTCTGCTTCCTTCGGTAAGTCTATTTAACAACCTGCTTTGGTTTGTTCCTGACAGGAATCTAAGTTCAAAGAGACTGGAGTCATTACCCCAGAGGAGGTAAAACATTTTCAACGGCCTATGTTTACCCCAAGTTCCTTAGCATTTTTATAGGTTGAGCTCTGTGTGTGCTTTAGTTTGTAGCAGCCGGAGATCACCTGGTCCATCACTGCCCCACATGGAAATGGTGAGTGTTTCCTCCAGCTAATGATTGCTTTTATCAGGCTAGCAGATACATGAGGGTCAGGGTTTAAATAGAGGAGGTAGAACACTCCTGTTGCCTGGTGATAATCAGGCAGACACTTCTGATTCAATGCAAAGAGATTTTTTTCTTTAGAACTTTATGCACTGAAGTAAAACGGCATACAATTTAGAGCTAAATAAAAAGAAACAATACAGGAAATTGATAACAAAGGAAAAAAAAAAAAAACATTTTCTGCTATAAGTACATTTAAATGACCAATTAATGTGACTATTGCTTTTTTTTTTTTTGAGTATTTCAATGATCACCATGTGTTAGGGTCTGTTAATTTAGTTATAAAACCAGAGTATGTTTTTTTTTTTTTTAGATACATTTCTTTAGAAATTTACTTGTAAAGATATCTTTTTTCTTTTATTTTTATTGAAAGATATATCTTCTAATAGCGGAACTAATCGGTAGGAGTGTCTGAAAAATAGTCCACAAATTGTTCGATTGTTACTTATATTCAGAAAAAAAAGACAGAATTGAAGAGTAAAACTAATTTGCAACCCTGAAACGAAACATAAAGATTTTGTTTGTAACCATATATCCATCAGGTAGCAGGAAGAGTGAGCTCTAAAGTTTCTGGACCATGAAAGTCAGTTGGTGGTTAGATGTAGGGGTAGAAACTATAACAAGCTGGTTCCCGATGAAATTGTTACATCTCTGCATGTAATTGATGTTTCTGCAAGGCTAAATTTCCTCATTTTGGGCTTCCACACTCTTCTGTTCATGGTGAGCATGCAACAGCTCCTGCAGGCGAAGGGTTCGCAAATGTAAACATCTGGAGACATCCTGTGATTTAGATCATAAATATCATCACTATCCACACTTTGTGGAAAATCTCCAAGAAAGAAATGATTGTTGCTCACTAATTGCATGAAGATTCTTTGATAAAGTAAAGGACTGTGATTTCTATTTCCTCGTCTAGTAGAGCTGATCAGAACAGGGGGAAAGCCACACAAACTATTAATCAGGGGTAGGGAACTGTGCTATTGTGCTGCAGTCTTTGCATGCATCCCTTCTTAAACAACTGAAAAGTATAAATGCCTTAAGGCTAAAATTAGCAACATGTCAAGGAGGTGATTTGGGCTTCTGTTTCAGGTGTGTTGAACAGGGATGCATGCAAAAGCTGCAGGTCCGACGTTGCTTGCCCTGGTATACTTGCTGCAGTGATGTGCGGCTCATTTTCTGCGCCGGATGTCCATACATCAAGCACAATGAGCCCTTAAAGCTGCAGTCTGTAACATTGAGGAGAGAGCAGACTTCGACTGAAAATTTGAAAAAAAAAAACAGG